AAAAAAAAAAAAAAAAAAAAATTGAATTTAAATAAAAAAATATTAATTAAATAAAAAATGCAAATTCTTCTGAAAAATTATAAAAAAAAACGCCTGAAATACACAAAACAAAACACACAATTCAATAAAGATGAACGCTACGACAGAGAGGCAGAGATGAAACATGGCGAAGGGAAAGCTGCAAGAAATGAGCCTTTCTCATGAACATATTGATGTTTTTTGTGTTTTTTTTGTTTTGTTTTGTTTAAAAAACACAAAAAAACAAATTAAATCAACAAATTGTAAATTAATTCGTGAAATAACGAGAGGTTTCCACCGGAAGATGAAGGGAAACGGAAAGAAGAGAAACGCTAAGAAACACCACTTTTTTGCAGTCTTCTTGTGGACAAGTTGGTTTAAATAACAATTATATTTCTCACCTCAATTAAAAATACTGAAAAAAAACAAATTTATACAAATTTATCGCAAAAAAAAGAAAACATGAATAGCAACAACCAGCAGCCAATCGATTGCAAGAACGCCCGGCGGTGGTTTCGGGTGTATAGGCAGCTCGGGTGTATAGGCAGCTCGGGTGTATGCCGAGGTGTGAGCAGGTCGTTGATTTTTAATGAATAAATAAAAGGAAAAACCTTTTTTATTTCTTTTTTATTGCTTTTATCATAATTTTTTCAGCCCCAAAGCCCCACGGGCCCCGCGGCAGCTGCATGCATCCATGCAGGTTGTTTTCTTTTGCATCGATTTTGTTTTTTTTTTACAAAATTTAGTGGAAATTGAATTTAAATACATTTGCCAGTTTGCAAATGGATTTATTGCGTTCATGAGGAGCTTTCGGGTGTATGCTGAGCTCTGCTTCTCTTGACTTTCGCTTTTATTTTTTCTCTATTATATCATTAGTTTATATAGTCATCCTTTGGCATGTATATATGCCAATAAATATATATATATATTATATATTTATATATATAATATTTATATAGTTATGGAGTCATATATATACACCTGCAAATGCAGAGAAATATAAACAGAAATGCATGCATTCAGTTTAAGCTGCCTCATGCATACACCTGCTGGATGGTGTACATACACCCCAGCAACAGGCCGTAACACAATTTGCATTTTTTAATTCTCTTTCTTTCTCTGCTGAGATGAGGTAAACAAACAAATACAGAAAATATTTAACTAGAATACATAAACAATATATAATGCATTTGATTGTATACGAAGTTTTTTTAGAGTGTACAGACAGCTTCATGTTGTATAGTAAAATAAAAAAACAAAACACAGTGATATTCTAGTGTTTAGTGTTTAGGGTTTAGGGTTTAGGGTTTAGGGTTTGTTTTTAGGGTTCGAGGGGTATGAGGAGAAAGAAATAGAGAGAAAGACAACAACCAAGTCAGAAGCATAAACATATATACAT